GTGTTTCCCATGCAAGTGAGTAAGAGTAATGACTACAGGAAATTGAAATGATGACACTGACCCTCAAAATAATGCTCAACTTATAAAACACAGTACAATGAAGAGCTCCACTTGACAGTAGCTAAATCACCAGCTCCAGCATAATGTTGTGTTCTCTACAATTCAAGAAGGAAACAATGTTTCCTAAACACGGGAATTGTTTCAGTGAAGTGATGCCATCTTCCTAGGATTCTCTCTTCAATCATTAAATTAGTTAACTCTTTTTTTTTTCTTTTGTTTTGTCTTGCTTTTTGAGACATGGTCTCACTTTGGAGTTCAGGCAGGACCTAAACTCTCTATGTAGTTCAGGCTGGCCCCAAACTTGCAGAAATCCTCCTGCTTAGCCTCCAACTGCTGAGATTAGAGGCACTTGCCACCCCATGCAGCTACATTACTTAACTCTTGTGACAAGATTCTCTCTCTCTCTCTCTCTCTCTCTCTCTCTCTCTCTCTCTCTCATAAATCATAAAGCAGATGTGGGCCAGGGAGATAGCTCAGTAGAATAAGTGCCTGCCTGGCAAGTGCAGGGTCCTGAGTTCAATTCCCAGTACTGCAAAAATAAATAAATAAAAGAATGTTTAAATAAATAAATAAATAAAAATCAGATGCAATCATTATTACCATCTACAGATGAGGACACTGAGGCTGGCACTCTGGAGGCTTCTCTAAGGAATTATAGTCAAAAGGGGCAGAGCTAAGACTAGAATCAGGTACAAATAGATCCTATGCTCTTTCTGCTGTCCCCTGTGGCCTCCTGATAACACCCACATGGATGAACACAGCTTATTGAGAGTTCCCATAATGGTAGATCCTTTCTAAATAACAGCATCAAGGAATTATGTACTCAGAAGAAAGTCAGTGAGGAGAGTAGAAGAGTGCTCAGTGGCCATGAGGTCTCTTACTGTAGTCCTGGATCCCACAATTGAAAAAAAGACTGAATTAGAAGAGCCAAGGCCAATGCTGGTAAAATATTTAGAGCAATGAGCAACAGATGTAACTGATACACAAGGAGTGTTTGTTAAATATACATACATACCCTGCATTCCCAGAGCTGTCAGTTACTCTAGCTGAAAGATTTCATCTCTACTACCAAGGACATACAATAAAATTTGTAATAATAACACTATGATGATTGTCACATTGGCTGATTTCAGCTTTAATTCTCTTAAGACTATATAAAGTATAGATGTAATGAAAGATATGGTAAATGTTTAAATTACAAATAAAAGTAAGTGATTACAGTAAAAGGTTTTTCACCATGGATTACTCTCAATATAGCCTCCCTTCCACACAACTGTCCATCATCTTTGTCCCTGCCAGCAGTTCTAGAAGTCCTCTTTCAAGAGTGTCTGTTTATGGATTTGCAATGTCCTGAATTGATTCAAACTATTTACAGCAATTTCTGTCAAATCAATTATTACAATGTGCCCTCATCCACCTTATTTACTGTATTGGGGTCATGTGACTTTGGACTCTCCCTCATTGCCAAAATGACCATGAAAGACAAATGTATGGATTAATTCAGGATATAGAGGCAGCTACAGCAGCACAACTGAAGATTCTCATGAAAGCGTACTTTGAGAATTGCTTGGGAAACTAACTGGCAAGAAGAACAGAGTGTGTGTTTCAAAGCAAGGGAAAATGTTCTCAGGGGAATTAATGGCCATGTATCTTTTATTGTAATAATGCTTTTCATTTCAGCCACCATATTATTTGATCATAACTTACATGTATTAGTCTTATTCGGGAGGATGAGAAAACTAACATTTAGTAACTATCATTTAGCTGTGTGTCCTAACTAAGATGGACTGAAAGTGAAAAAAAAATCACAGCACAAAAAGATAAAATAGTTCATTAATAAATTCCAATTTTGGTTACATGTTGAGATAAAACTGGATATATTCTTAAATTTACATATTATTAAAATTAATTTCATGTTTTTGTTTTTAATGTGGCTCCTGGAATGTAAGTCTCAGTGTAGCTACTAGAAAAATTTTAATTATATATGGCTAATATTATACCTCTATGGTACCTACTATCAATTGTTATACAAGTCGCCCACCTGTTGACATGGAGAGAATCAAATAGGAAAAAGTTTTGCTTTTGAATCATTTTCATTGCATCAACCTATAACCTAAGATGTTCAAACACTGTGAGTTCTATAGTATTTGTCAGACTCCTTTTATTTTTTGTTATAATGCATAGCAAAAATATAGACCACCTTGCAACTAGAATAATCTGGTGTTGTTTATTATACATATACTATATTAGTTTCATAAAGTTGCATGATAATGAATTAAAACAATGGTTCAATGAACAGAGAAACAATTTCCCCATCTTCTATTCTATTGTATTAATACTAATTGCAACCAGCCTACCTAACTTTACAACCAACTGATGTTTTAACCTAATTTGTAAAATTCAGTATAATGCCTATAATTAAGATGCTGATTTAATCTACACAGAGGTGAAGGGACTTTTTGGTAAATAAGATGGATCTGTCAGAAATATATGAGCTAGGGTAGATACAACTAGTTCTGTGGCCTATACAGTTGGCCATATTGAGGGGAGCTCTGCAGCTTCCTCACTCCTATAAATGCTTCCTTGCCCCTCTAGAATCAGCATTTTTTTTT